ATACCAATCCCGCCCATTGAAGAGTTTGGAGCTTTTGAGCTTTCACCATGAGGCCGTCTTTCACGACAAGACCACCGCAGAATACATCAGGCAAGCAAATGACCCCGAGCGCACCAATGGTTTCTACTCCTTCAGACGCTTGGAGAAAAGGGCCAGACTAGACGCTGATGGAAGTCCATACGAGGTGCCGAGACGAGTGATGCGAAAAAGCGGGAGAGGAGCACTATGGAGCACTGTTTGGTTGAAACTTGAGGATTCATGGCCTGGGAGTACAACACCATCTACATTTTAGCAGCTTGATGGCATTCAGACTTTTTGTGCGGCGTGCTGTAAAATCCAAACGGGAAGAGCTGACTCTATGGTATGAAACCATACGTGGGTCACCAGGTTGGCCCGCGCGATGCTCCATGTTTCATGTAAATGACTGCTTTTTGCACTGCAGGACGGCATTGCCATGGTCTTCCTGATGTACAGGATGATCACCTTTTTTAGAGCCCTGGCTACATACCTTTAGAAACCTTCGAAATCATTATTGAGTGGTAGGCGAGTGACTAGCCAGTAGTGAAAGTGTGTGTGTGTGTGTTGTGTGTGTGTTTGTGTTGGGAGGAATCTGTGGTACATAACTCAAGTAGCCTTCCAGCTGCCAACATTGCAGCTGCGATGGCCTCCTGGTCTGCCGAAGGAGGGTGGCGTCAGTCAAGTGATTGGGGTTGTAGACTCGTGCTCATGTGCGTCTCCTATAGCTCCTAGACCCTCGATCTATATTGTTTGTGAAGAGACGCCCGTTTTTGCTTCAAGGACTGAGCCACACCGTGTACCTGCAGTGGAAAGCCATTGGTCAGGTGACGCACTCTGTATTGTTTTTGTTTTTTTGTCTTTCCAGCATTTTCTGACTCCTTGATTAACGTTCTCACGTGTGCCAGCGCCGATCCGCGATTTCTTTCTGCAACAGAAGGGACCATCGCAAGGTCCTTATTCGGTGATCGCTTTACCTCCCATGATCCAAAGGAAATCAGATGCCTTATGCCTTATGCTAAGATGTACTCCCAAATAGACCTTGAATTCGGTTCAGTGCAGATGATTTATACTTGTTTTTAAAGCTCCGTATTTGACCCATCAACCATCCAGCACGATTCTTTGCACCATCCGCCACGCATCACGGCACGCACCGCAGCCTGCGAAGCTGCTAGGCCTTGAAAGCCTTCATGTTCTTCACGTTGATCTTTGTACCCGCGATTGCAGGCAAGAGAAGACAGACATTTGGTATTTCTGGAAGACTTTGAGTTGACTTGCCTAGCCTGGTGGAAATACAAAAAGCTTTGAAAGAAGACGTTGATGCCGGCGTTGCCCAAACGGCACCAACCGACCAAGTGCAAGATGCCAATTTTCTGCAAGGGCCCCTCTATCCCATCGCTGCATTGTGCCTTCAGGTTTCATCGTCGTTTCTACAGCCCTATTCGGCAAGTACATCTTCGGCCCCGTGCTGAGCTGTCAGGAAGAACCGGCAACGTCATGTGACACATGACATGTGCGACCGCAGGATAGGTGGCGACAAGGATATCCCGAAAGAAACAGCTGGGTCTCATTAGTTGAAAGATTTTGAAAGGTCCCCTCATTGTGCTCCTTGCAGCATTGGTCATCGGCTGAGGCTTCTCCAGTTTGAGTCGAACTACAGTTTCGACCTTCAAGCTTACAGCGGGTGACTTGCATCCCAGTGTGCTCGATCGAGATGTGGTGTCTCAGCATGGAATGGATATCAACTTGTCAAGTCAAGTCATTATTTCACGAGTTCTTGTTTATGATTCTCTCATGTGGACCCACTGACACTGTTGCGGGCACACGCACACACCATGGAAACACTTGGGCTTTCTTCTCACTAGTCCCTTGTTTCTTTGCTTTTGCCTCTACCTTTAGTGCTTTTGTTTGAGCACTGCACTACCTTCGAAATGCACCTCAACTTGCACCTTCAGGTTGTTGGAGTGATTTCCACTATAGCACTCTACCTCCTTTTGACCTTCTTCTTGATGAATGTCTTCATCACGTGTCTTGGCAAATGTCTTGCTGGCAGCTGCTGGCCATCATTGCAAGACCCTTCTGAGCATGCCACTCTCAAGGATCTTCGTCGATGCCTACTATGTTGTCCGGCTCACCTGCACCCAACCAGCAGAAAAGTGGGATGGCCAGTGACCTTGCTGATAAAACACACTTCGAAACACTGACACTGAAACATTTTATGAAACAATATGAAACAATGTCCATGTTCGATGGGCATCTTGAATGCCCTACCTTCCGGTGTAGTAAACGAGCACGCCGGAGTACACGAGCACGCCGGCCCGCCACTTGTGAAAACAGCTCGGGGTTCTTAAAAGATGTTTGGTCCGTTCCGTTCATGTTCCGTCAACATTTGTCATGTCTGCTCAGGCGAATCCGAACATGGGCCCTACCGGGTGCTTGCGTCAGCATGTTTCAGGCAGGGAAACGAGAGTTCTCTTCGCATGTTCTGAGTTCAGCATGTTCTGAGTTCGAGTCTAAGGCAGTATGGCCATCGTCCAAGTCTGAGGGAAGAGACTGAGCTCCGTAGGAGCAGAGCTCTGAGCAAAGAGAAGGACCAGAGTTTCACTCGCTAAACCAAAGCGAAAGTCTAGATGTGAAGGCCTCGCAATATCCCTCTCCGTTGACCAAGCTGGCAGGAAGATACTAGAAGGTGACACCAAGTAACTCACGAAGAACCCTTAGGCATTGCTGAGAGGAATATCAAGCGGACTTGTCACGATGCGTGGCAGAGATGCCCGTCCAACGGGGGAGAGTTGCAGAGCGAAACCACCAGAGGTTCGTGACAGGGCGAATTTGCCAAGTCCATTCGATGCGTTCGATACGTCCAAAAAGTTCCTCATAGAAGAGGCCCCAGCCCGGTATGGCTGGAAACCGAGGGAAGAGTCTAGCTTGAGAGTCTTGATTCTTAGTTCCTCGTTTGGCTTTGTACCAAGTCCTCTCCTATCCGTACTTGAGGGATTAGCCACCGAATAGACTGATGTGTTGGATCGCAGCCACTCAAGATCCATTCCAAAGAAAATGACTCCAGAGAGGTCGAGTTGTGTCGGACCAGTTGAAATCATTCAGATTTGTTTCCTATCTTCATTGGGTTCTTCAACAGCTCTTTGAGCTGTCTGCCCGGGCTCTTTTTTTCGCAGGATGCCCCCCCCAAGCAAAATGCGAGGTCGCTCGCCGCGCGGTCGAAGCAGAAGTGGCCACCCTTGGGGAGGTCGCGCAGGTGGGAAGGTGATCGAGGTCGCCGAGACGAAGATGTTCTCGAGGTGGAGAAGTGCGTGTCCAGATGTTTTCAGCGGTCAAAACCATCGTCTAAGAAACGAGGTAAAGGTAAAGAGAGTTTAAGATAGTCGAGTGTCCCTGTGGGACGGCTGATTGACAGCCAGAGTCGCCAGAGAGTTCAAGATAGTTCAAGAAGGCCTGGGGCGAGTGGACACAGCTTTTGCCGATGAGGTTAATGTTGAGGATTCTCCCAGTCGATGTCGATTTTTTTGCAGAAGTCACGCAATACTCAATCCATTCCATGGAAGCTGATTTTTGACGAACTGCTGCAACTTCGGGCTGGCCCAGAAAAGAACACTTGAGTTGGGTCGGTTATATACGTTGTTTTGGAGTTGGTTGGAGGTTTGTGCGCAGGCCTCGACGACGGACGAAAAGCCACGCCCATTGCAATTAGTGCAAATTGACCTGGAGAAGAACAAGGTGTCCTGGCACGACTGGCCCACCTCATCAATCCTCATCACTCATATTGAATCAACAGGTGGTCCAAAAGCCAAGTTGGTGTAGGTCAAAAACGACCCATATCAATCAAAATCCTATTTACTGCACCAACAGTTATGTCTTCGTGTGAGACCTACGTGGTACCCTCGGGGTACGCGCTCGCATGTGGGCTGTCCCCTTGAGTCATTGAGGTGAGACTGAACGAGGAGGATTTGGCCGTCTTGGAGAAGTCCCTGGAAAACACGGGCGCCGTTTGGCCCAAAAGGGGGCCGTCGACACAGCGGCTAGTGGTGTGTGGTTTGGGGCAGTTATTAACTGAAGTGACGACCAGTTCCATGCCAAAAGGCGCAGTCTTCTTGATTTCAGAGTGTCCAGCACCACTGAAATGGTATGTACGTCGCTCGTACGTCACTCTCCTTTGCACTGGGAATGTGAGTGTCGGAGCATCCGTCCATCAAGCGTGGGGGTGTTGGAAACGAGCAGGCCAGATGGCCCGATCCCACACGCGGATATTATGATAATTACGGTATGATATTATGATATGGTAATTCCCAATGAGTTCCGATATGTTTCAAGAGACCAACCACGCGAATCACGAGCCACCAACTAAATTGACCCAGACCCCTTAAGACTTGTCCATCACTCACTGCCCAATAGAACTGACTCGTGTGACTCATGTCCGACCCGCCACTCCGACGGGCCGGCAACCTCTCCATCCAGGTGGAGAAGGTGGCCATCATCGCTGTGATGGGGGCGTTTCGTTACCTGGGCCAAATTGTGAGTGGATGAGGATGCACCACATGCCACCAAATGACCAGAGTCCAGTGTATTCAGTGTATGTATATATATATATATGTGTGTGTGTGTGTGTGCGTACGTGTTTATGTATGTGTATATATATACACCTATACACATTTACAATATACAGTATATATAAACGTATCCTCTACAACCTTCAGCAGACAGCGGACATCAAGCATTTACAGAGATCTATTTATATAGGGTTGAAGGACGTGCATGCTTCGTCGCACCGGCCAAGGAGTTGATACATCATTGACATTTATATCGCCGCCCCTTCTAGGTTCTGTTATTATTTTTTTGTAGCGGAGGCTAGGTTACAACAGGCCATGCTTCGACTATTCTTGAAGACTCAGTAATCGGCGCCTTAGGATGGATCGGGCCTGGTCAAAGTTTTCAGCTGAGGTACTGGGAAATCCTTTTTGCTCGACCTCATGCTGTAGCAGCCTCAGCCTGTAAACCAAAGGGATGACGCGATGATCAGAGACTTGTTGAGGCGCTACTTGCGAGAAAAGCACCCGCCCAAAGGCTACAAGAACGAAGACATTCCGCAGGAGGGTGGGCATTCGCAACCTGGGGGTGAAGCACTGCATGCACTTTAGAACTTGCACAGAGTGGCCAGACTTCAGGAATGCGAAGTTCCAGATTGGGCTTGGAACTTAGCCTGGCACGATCATGAGTACAGTATAGTGACTCAAGAGTGGCCATTGTGAAGCTGGCAACCTCGTAAGGTTCAAGAAAGAAAGGTTCCAGATTGGGCCGTGAACTGTGGCCCCAACCTATTGGAAGGCCCGTCCCGTTGCTCGCGGCTTTCCTTCCACTTGCTAAGCCGCTCGCTCACCAGGCCGCGAGGGTGGTAGTCAAGACCGGGAAGGCTTTGTTTGGAGGCCAGGCATGGAGAAGTGCACCGAGGCGGGGTGGTAACTACGCTGCGCCACGAAAGGGGGGGGGCGCGTCATTCTTGGAGTATAACTGTGGTTCTTAGAGTTGCCAGTGTTCATTTTTCAGATCGTGCTGCCTGAACTCAGGGCATCTGGGTGTGGTCAGAGGTCTTTGTGTGCAAAGCTGGCGATGAGGCCCACAAGCACGATGCATGTCAATGCCACAAGCTCTCACATGTTCGAGCATCGTTTTACCCCAAAGATCGCTTGCAGAGAGTTGACCGAACTGTGACGCAATCAAACATGAGCCGTTGAGGATGTGGCCGTGGTGCTGATGGATACCCAAGGCGCTTGGGATGCGCGCATGAGCAAGGACCGTCCTTGCCACAGGGCGTAGTTGCCGTGTCCTTGTCGCGTCACCACGCTTCGTCTCACCGCTTGAAAAGGAGCAGAGCGCGACAATCTTCGGCCTCACTACCTTATTAGCATCCCGCCTTATCTACAACGTGGCTGGTTCGCACTCATTTATGAGTTCATGAGGTTTTGCCGCCGACCAAGTTGCAGAGATCTGGGGAGAATAGAGAATATGGATGCCCTGTTTTCGGAGATAATGAGCTTTCAAACATGTGATGTCCCCCATTGGCAAGAACAAGTGATAGATAGGCAGACATGACAGACTGATAGAATCTGATAGATAGACATATTATGATGATATATGATATAGATCGGAACACTAGGACAAGCTATGTGAAGGAACTCTTCCCGTCTGACACAGCGATTAGGTCTCAAAGCAGATTCAGCAGGATAAGATTGACAATTTGTTGCTTGGTCGGGTTTCAGTCAGGAGCCGCAGGTGCAAGCTCATCTTAGCTTTTCATGGTGCTGACATGAAATAATCCTATGGAAAGGGTGCTCTTCAAGCTGCAGCGTGGTCCTACTCAAAATCCGGATACATCTTTGCCACCCCAAGCAACATACTCAATCATCGTGTTTTCAGTATCCATGGTGGGAGCGGTTCTTCACCCGAACGTGGAGTTCTGAAGTTCTCACCTTTTTGGCGAACGATCCGATGTGACGAGCTGCCCAAAGGCTGTACTTCACAGACTTTGCCAAAGCTGCTCTCCGAGCCATGCAGAGGGGCACCGGCTCCGTGAGTGCCACTCGGTCGTTGAAGTGTGCATCCACGCACTGCAAAGTGGGGTTCAGCCTCAAGTCAAGGGCTTCATGGAGTGCTTCAAAGTGGGTTCAGTCAAGGGCGTTTGGAGTGCTCAAGGCATACCAAGGCTAATTTAGGCCAATCTTCTTTCAGGAGTGAAGCGTGCTAGACGATACTGGATAGGTCATGATAGTTCACGGATGCTCCTCACAGCCAAGCAGGATGACTTGGTCATGTCACTCCAGGCAGCCACCAAATGACAAAGTTGCAAGCCTGCAGCTCCAAATAGGATGTTGGGGCACAGCAAGGTGAAGACGTGAATACCATGGCATGTGATTCATGCGGGCAATGAATCACCTAGACACCCAGATGCGCTGCCCTGAATGAATTTGCACACTCGCATGTTCGCAGCTGTTGCTCGACGTTCCAAATGCCTAGTGAAGGTGGTTTCAATCGCAGGTTTGGATATATGACTTTGCCCTCGCCAAGGAGCCATTCCAAACATTGGAATTCCTGGTCAGGGATTGGCCGCACTATCAGGACGTTGCAACCGGGGAGTTGAAGTATCTTCACGTGGAGCAGTATTCATGTGCTGTCTAACACTCGAGCGAATAGCCAGAAGCAACTGTACCTGCAACTAGCAGTCCTACATGGAAGGAAAACTTCAACTTCAAGGATGCCAGAAACATGATGAAGAACCATTTGGACCAGCAACTCGATCTACAGAGCTGAGCACACTTTAGGCCGCCTTTTTTCAGCGGGCTGAGCATCCGGGACGGTCGAAGGAAGCCACTGATCAGGTGGATTCTCCACACAGAGTCGCAGGCATTGGAGTAGAGAATCACTGCGGAGGAGAGCCAATGTTTGTTCACTTCACTCCAGGTCACTCCGCTTCGGTCTGGGGGGCAGTCCTGGAGTCCAATGCATCATGGGAAACCACAGAGAATTTCAGGCATCCACAGCTACAGCTTCTGTCCCTTGATTTCAAACCATTTCAGTTGTTCATGGTAAGGGAAAGTTGTGGACGTGCCGGGTGCAACCAGTCATGCAATTCCTTTGCCGTCTCTGCCGTCTCCACTTCAGGTATTTCAACCCAAAGAAGTCCCAGGACTGCATCGGTGCTTTGACAAGCTCGATTTACAAACCACTGGGGGAGCTGTTCACGGCATATGCAGGATTCTTCCATCAATAGCATCATTGTTTATGATTTATGACCCCAAACGAGCAGCAAGAACAAGAGGTGATTCTATGTGAAGATGTTCTGCCTTCTGCCAGGCGCATGGCAAAATGCAAGCTGCAATGTTTTGATTTGAGTTCCCTCGCGGCTCGAGTAAGCCATCGGACAAAGTGTGGTTCACAGTTGCGCCTTCAGGACACAAAAAGCGTTGAGGCACTTGTGGACTTGCACCTTGGATCACCCTGGTGGTGGTGCATGTGTTGTACAAACGAAGGCAGAGGGCACAGATGCCCATTGATGTCCATGTTAGCATTCTTGCCCACAAAGTTGGGCAGCCTGGGACATTTCTTGTTGGGACCGGCTAGTAATTCATTGCATACTTCCACTTCAGGGTATGGTATTTGGTATGGTATATGTACTGCATTTAATAGGTTGGATAGTAGGTTGAAGGCCATCGCTAGTAGGTTGGAGGCCATCGCTATTAGGTTGTGTTCCTTGATGCTGCAGTTTCTCCAGATCCATCCCCAGCCTTCAAGGTTTCATGACATCGACGTATGGTGTCTTCCACATCCCTCTCTGAAGATTGAAAGCCCGAACCTGAGAAAGGTATGCCATATAGCGCTATAGATGAAGCCAGGCTGGCACCTCAAGCACAGAAAGATTGCAACATTGAAGCAGCGATTGACCCCCTCAAAGGACCATCAGGACACGCTTTGAACCAGCCATTGCTGAGAAGCACTCCCCTCCTGGCCCCTCGCCCCTGAAATGCAAGTTTTCAGTGACCTAGTTTCGTTCGTAGCAGGTGTTGCTGTATTTTGATGTTTGGGCGCCTCCGTTGTTCCTAATCAATCCACGCGCGGCTCACGCAAATGATATAAATTGATACATCCTTGGTTCTTTTTTCCCAGCATGATTTGCAAGCTGGCAACACATGATCCAGACGTTACAGTTGCTGTCAGAAAAAGATGTTGTTTGCATCAGAGAGCACGGCCCAAGCCCACACGCACTGCCCACCAGCCCCGGTTTTTAAAGTAAGTTGCGAGATCCTTTCAGTGGGTGACCTCAAGTTGTGCAAAGCAATCGCTGCAAAGAGTCAAGTTCTTTATTGGCTTCGAAGCCCGAACTGCAAGCCTACAGGTGAGACCTGGAATGGGGACCTGGCAGTGATTGAGAAACAATTTTGGCGATACATTGATGGCTCCTTGGTTTGAAGAGCGTTTCAGTTTCTCTCAGCCGAGGTGCAGGTAGGGTCGCCCGATGGGCCGGAGGCGACCGAGTCTCGATGAGGTCATGGATGTTCCGAAGTGGAGATCATCACATCAGAGAAAGCGATGGTTTTGTCACGTTTTGTATATACAAAGTTATAGATATGATATATATATAGGGGACCACACTCAGATGGCATTCGCAGAACGCCTTTAGAATGCCATTTGTGTGATCCGCTATATATACACATCACCAGGCTAAGAGTTGCTCTTCTTCCAGCCAGCACGAGCCTTTAGAGACCTTTGAGTTGTAAAGTTGAAAAGCCAGGAGGTCACGCCTGTGAGAACCGATGATCGTCCCACGGCTACCACACGTGTGTGGACTTGGAGAAATTCGATCGATGGCTGACCTAAAAAGTCTTTCAAAGACCAAGTGCTGTTTCAAAGACCCTGGTTTCCTTTTGCTTAAGTATTGGGCTCCAGTGACTGGGACGATGAAAGGGTCAGACGTGCAGCGTCCAACATAGCCAAGAGATGACATCAGACTCCTGCTGATTGCACCTGGGAGATACAGATACATGAAAAACCACCAGCCACCCCGGCTGTCAAGACCATCAGGGAATCCTCCGTTGCAGTGGAGCTTTGGCACCCAGCTAGCAACAATGTAATCCTGAGAAGTACTGCGATTGTTCAATTACTTTTGCGGCTCCAATGTTTTCTAATGTGCTGTAGGCTTGGGCCCTGCACCCCAACTAAAGGGTCAGGGCCCTTAAACCATACCCCCAAAAACCACAATCATATTCAAAGTCATTTAGGGAAATTGGATTGCAATTTCTGGTCTAGGAAATGCAAATGATTGGATCAGTGGGCGGGTTCTGGTCTAGGAAATGCAAAATGATTGGATCAGTGGGCGGGGTAACTCTAAAGAACACAAATCTGAACATATTTGCAAACCAAAAACAACCAACATCATCCCTTCACTAATTGGTCAACCTCACGTGGCAATTCAAAGAATGATTGACCCTACTTACCACAAGATTAATCTTTTGTTCGTGCTCTCACAGCCAAAGGAAAGAGGAAAGAAAGGAGGGGAAGGAAGATTGTGATTACACTGGCAATTTCCTGTGCATTTTTTGTGGCTTGTTTTGTGGCTGTCTGCCGCCCTGGACCACAAACCATACCACAAAAAAAGCCACAAAAAAACACAAGTCACACCACAAAAACCACAAATCATACCACAAAAAGTGCAACAGAAAATACCACAAGTCACACCACAAAAAAACAACAAACGCGACCACAAATCATACCACAAAAATGCCCAAAAACACAAGTCACACCACAAAAAACACAAGCGCGACCACAAATCATACCACCAAAAATGCAACAAGTCATACCACAAAAAACACAAACGCGATCACAAATCATACCACAAAAATACAACAAGACTTACAACAAGTCAGACCACAAAAAAATACATAAACAAATAAACACACACACAAATCAGACCACAAAAAAAGACAAAATACACACAAAGTTGTGGTCAGCTTTGTGTGTGTGTGTTTCTTTTTGTGGCTGCGTTCCTTTTCATTTCCTTTTACAAAGAGCGGGCCCCCAGTTTTCTCTTTGTTCAATAAGGGAGGCACTGGGCCTGGAACTTCCGGGGCCGCCCACAGTTCTGGCGCCCAGCCAGGGCTCCCTCTAGAGCCAGCCCCTTCTGCCAGGCCTGCCATATATGTTTTACAAAACTCCCAGACCATGTTGAGTGGATCGAAACTTTTGATCATTTTGCGAGTGGATGCGCTCAGATCAAAATGGGCACCCGATTCACTTGAGGGGCTTGTGGTACATTACTTTTGCAGCCAGCGTTAAAAAGGCAAATGAAAGTAATCCTAATGCAAACTATGGCTAAGCTGTTGTTTTTCCTGGTATGATTTGTGGTCACTGTTATTGTGCCGGGAACTGTAGGCTGTTGATATACAAGCCGGATATAAACCACCAAAGTCTCACGCGTAGGGGATCCGACGTGGGTGGGGGGTGGGAGAAGAGGTTTCACAATCCAAAAGGCGAGGCTTTATTCATCAAAATTTCACATTAAACAAGCTCATGGCATCCGTTGTGCTGTGGCAACCGGATGAACTGTTGAGGGGCCTACGTCAACTTATAGTCTCGAAGGCTAACCTGTGAAATCGTGTTTGAGCCAGGAGTTTGAAGACACATCATATGAGACAACGGTTTCATGCCTTCATCCCTGAACCCATGCAGCGGCCTACACGCGGGATCGTGTCAAGGCTGAGTAGATGTTAGGGGGAGAAGAATCGTAAAGTATCCAGACTCTGTATATGCCCATGCCTGCAGATCCTGCTTCTTTATCGCTGCTTCTACCGGATGGCAATTTTTTGAGTCTGATGTTGATCTACTGAATGGCACGGGAAATTTGTGCACCAAGGCTATTTGGACAAGATTTTTGACCCAGCGCAGTTGCAAGCAAAGCAAAACCTTGGCGCCTGACACGCATTGATTGATTTGCGCTGAGTGCACGTCTTTTCTTCGACGTTTGCGCACATGTTCATACAAAGGCCATCACATATCGACATGAGCTGCCATGGGCTCCTTGTTTTTCGGCCACCGCAAATGTATGAGGCAATGCCATCACCGTGTCTACGTGGGCAGCTCAGTTACATTCTGTGCACTTTGAGAGCCTTTATCGAAGCAGCCTGTGGACCAGGGGGTTCCTGAAGAAATTTCTGGCGAGATTCGACGGGTGGCTTGGAACTGGCCATGCCCCACACCCCAGATGTCAACGGTAGACTCTACAAGCTTGTGATGCCAGCATGGCGTTTGCTAACTGATATGGATCCGCTCGGCTAAAACCCTCTTTAGGAGTCAAAAACTGTCAAAAGCATTGGGGGGTTTTCTGCAGAAGGGTGAACAATCTACGGCTCAGAAGCAATGGTGATGGTTGTTGATATTTGGATGGAGTTAATGTTTCAGAGAGATGGAGCAATGGAGATAGAGAGATCCTGAGATCTTCCGCGGTAGGTTTGGCACAGTGCTGCGCGAGTTCTCCAGCGCCTTCAGTGATGCTGCGCCACAAGCACAAACCTTTTCAGAGGCAATGGAGGCGCAGATCGGATTTAGGTTTTGATGAGTGGAGAATGTCCTTTCTTTGGCTCAAAGATGCCCAAAAATAGATGGATAGCAGGGTGACATGGGCAGCATTAGGCACGAAGTGTTTGCCTTGGAGGTTCTTTCTTCGGCTGGATTCCTTCTGTATAGATTTTGGGGTGGTGGAAAAGATAGCCACTATTTGAGCTAGAAGGCCCGTGCCAAAGCCAAGCCCCTTAGACTTACTTGGGGGATCTGGCTGCGGGGTTGGTCTTACTTGCAAGGTTCCGGTGACATGGGCATCCAAAGCTTTGGCGCTGGGTAGCTCAAGAAGCTTGGCCCTCCATCAATTCCATTGCTGTGACCACTCAATTGTTTGGCTCTCAAAGCTTCATGGGTCAAATCACGGGTCACGGAGTCAACCAACCTTATGGCACCCATCCCGTGATCAGGGGTTGCACTGGGAGCCGTGGAGATGCATTTCGGCCAGGCTTCCACTGGCCTTTTGGCGCGAGATGTGGTGACGGCTCCCAGTTGTAAGATGTTTTGTGTGAGTGATGTTTGGTGATAAATCTGGGTGAGCTTTCGGCTGAGGCAATCAAGAAGGCAAAGAAGATTTTGGCAGATTCTTGGACGCAACCAGGTGCCGATTTCTGTGGCATGTTTGCGGATCCCTTGGGCAAAGCACGCATCCCAAAGCTGCTAAGGAGAAGGCCCTCAGCAGCCCATCCGCTATTACCGATAAGGAGATTTGGCAGAGCACGAACGATTCGGTATTGCTTTGTCATGGCCATGGCTCCTTCAACAGGAGCACCTTAATGACTCCAGGAGCTCACATGAACTTGGGTGTGGTGACATACTTCAGGATACTTCAGGTTGTATATTTGGGTTATCCACACAACATGGCGTCACACTTCTTTAGCGTGAGTGGTCGGAAAATGCCAATCTGCTGGCCCGGTCTTTACCGTTCGAAGTCAATCGTTTCACGCTGGTGTCTTCGCTCCCCTTCGCAGGAGTTCGACGAGGTGGCAGCAATGGCCACAAAACTGGCGAATGAAGAGCACCTGGTTGAAAACACGTGAAACCACTACAGATGCATGACTTCCTTGTTGAGTAGGGTCCCCCTCCCCTCAGGATCAGAAGCACATCCAAGATCATCCAAGTCTCAACACCAATGAACACCTCTCTCAGACCGGTTCATCATACAGCCCCACACATTTGAAGAATTGCATTTCTTGGGCTACTCTTACTTGTAGTTTTGGTAGATTTTGGTGTTTTATGTTGGTTCCTGTTTTTCAAGACTGGAGAGCAGTAATTATGCGAGACTCAGAGGATGAAGCAGGAGCAGTGCCTGCGTTTGGAAGACCAGCATCGCTATGAATCGCTCAGGTTCACAAACAAGGCCATTTTTGGCACGTCAGAGGGAATTCAGCGACGCAAGGCGCAAGTTGTTCGCGCCACTCCAATCAATTTGGATTGCAACCTGAAGTGGGGCAAGGGTGAGAGCGGCTTTGAATCCTGACGTTTAAGAGCTGGGGCATCCTCTCCATATACTTCATGTATACAATATAGGAGTTAATTGCATGATGAGAAGGCCGCCCGAAGACCACTTGGGCAAGTTACAAACACAGCTATGTCTAGCTGGTCCGTTCCAAAAACGTAGGTTTTCCTTCGTCCGCTGCTTGTCCTTGCAGCCTTTGGATGGGTTTTTGCACAACGTCACGTGTGCAGGAGATGCTCCTGAAGGAGTTGGAAGAGGAGAGAGGGAAGCTATAGGTACTTTAGGGGCTTGGGGGGAGACGCCACAGATCACTTGCAGATAATTAGCCCCTAGGCGCAGATCGCACATCCAGCGTGAGTGCCTTAGAGAATTCCAACCTGTTGGTTTCTGATTTGGAGGGTGTTCTCGTGGCTTTCCCAAACCATACAGAACCCACCCGTCCGTCCTCTTTTACCACTGAACAGGATGGCCACTCGCCAGCTCCAGGAGCTAAAGCTATTAGGTTTGAGTAAGGAACTTGAGCAAAGACCCACGGAAGGAGGGGGCAAAACCACTCTGCAAACAGATCCATCGTTTTCTGACTAGTTTTTGTGGCATCCCAGAGGCTGGATGGAGTTTGGGATGGCGTTTCTCCTCTCCGCATCTCCGCAGAGTTTCTGGACGTTGGCTTGATCCAGTGACAAGACCCAGTCTAGTGAATACAGGAGATCGCCCGGGCCCGTGATGATAATGCGGCTTGCTCAGAGCGATGCAGACATGGGCCTTGACACGACTTAAACCGCCGGCGATGAACATGGTACCGTTTGGGACCCCTGTCCGAAACGTGTCAGGAACGAAAGCTTGAAGCTTCCCTGTCGTCACCTCAGCTTTCCTCATGCAGACTTCCCAATTCCGTTCGTCCAAAAACGTCGCGTGCATAGTGGCTGCCATGAATGGAGCTGTGGTTCGGCTCCATACGTTTTGCCGCCGATGAGGACTGGCTTGACCAACTTCTCCATCCTGGGCCTTGCGGCCTTTGTCCTTGACCGTTTGGGGCTAAGCACTGCGGAAGTGCAGACAGCATGCTATTTGATTAATTCTCATATATTATATACTATATATAATATACTATCTATATATATATATGTGTGTGTGTATGTTATTGGAAGTGGCTGACGGGAAGCCGTGGAAAGGGATGGAAATTTGCTGTACCCTGGCACTGAGTTGTTGGGACATTTGGACCGCCTCAGGAGCAAGCCCAAAAGGTGTAGGTATAGAGTGAGGCTCTTATGGCGGGATATCACAGGCATGTCACTGTTCGATCCGTTCTTTTCTCAAGCACAACTTTGTACACGTGTTCCGCTTGTTGGTCAGTTTTGAAGAGTTCCTGTTTGCATGCCATGACAAGCTGAAATGAAGCTTTGGGTGGGACCTACCAACCATTGGCACTTCCACGAAATACATGTGCAGATCGTTCGAGTGGACAGCTTGCCCTCACTGAACACTATGTGCCAGCGTGGGGGGGTTCGATGCATGTCCGCGCATGTCCCATTCTTGAGACGAACAGCTTCCACACCATTGTGCTGGTTTGGCACTTGCCGAACCTTCATGCCGGTGCTTGTATCCGCTTGTGTGAAAGATTGTGATGTTGGCAGGGCCGCGAGGCCACGAGACTTGCTGTCCTTAGTCATCCCGTCCCGAAAGGCTTTGCGCACAGAACAAGGCCTTTCCTTCCCCTTCCTACGGGGTCAGGTCACCCGCTTTCCCCTCACCGGGCTCGGCCACGCGGCCGATCCCTGGTTTCAACGCAGGGCGCTGGTGTCGACCTGTGGCCCCCAAGAGGTCCAGTTTTTCTCGAGCACCATGATTCGCGCGAAAGACCAAGAAGAGGAGCAATCTGAAGGAGTGAGGTTGAACTGGGCTGACCATCTTACCAGCCACAGTGGACCTTTAGTGTTGCAGAGATTGTGGTGGATACCTGGAACATCCTGGAACAAAGACAAGACAGTACCGACTTCAGACCACCAAATACACAGGAACGCCATCCACCTTGATACACTTGCAAATCCAGTGGCGCCTGCTCGCGTAGATCTCAATTTTTGGTGGACCGTTGGCTAGAATCTCACCGTTCGCCGCGTTCCCTCGGATTCGGATTTGGGTGGGCAAGGTGATGTTCTAGATTCTCGGCGCTTCAAGAGTCATAGTCAGCATTTCAGCATGGTGAACGCGGTGATTCCAAGCATGCAGCGGCATGTATTACCTCAAGCACCTTTCGTTTGGGAAATGTTGTGCTTGCAGTCGCTCAGGTGCAAGCGATTTCACCTGTGATTGGTGGTCAGGCTTTTGTGCGCAACTCAGAGTGCAGGGGAATGTTCCCTCCTTTTTGTCAACCAACGTGTCGTGCTCGAGCATCAAACTGTGCCCAGGTCGGGATGTCTCAACCGATCTCAGCTACGTTGAGGTGGCAGTGTTTGGCTGGGCCAACGCCTTAGACTGTTGGCAGGATTGCTTGGGCAGATTTACTTTCAATTTATGCGATTGTTGGATTTGAAGCCAACTACATGCAAGTTATATAGCATGAAGTGCCAGCTTGGAGGAGCAAAATGATACCTTGCAAGAATAAAGTCGTATGGTGCTCTATTGATAGGCAGTATCATCATGTATCATCTATATAATTGTGCCCAGGTTGGCTTCAATCTATTCCAGATCAGTCAGAAGCAGGGGTTAGAACCTGAGTAGCAATCCTTCGCCCTAGAAAAGCGACCCTCGCGTGGCGACGTTTCCATGCGAGGTCGCTCAATGCTACTGCCGCAGCTCTCGAGCTTGGGAAGACGGTCTGGAACTGATTCCGCTCGGGCATTTTCCAAACAAAGAGAGGTTGAGATTGAAGAAATTCCCATATGCTCCCAACGGTTTCTTCCATCCAAAGGGCTGGTTTGTTTCGATTGCCTGATTGGAAGGTGTTCAACACATACAAGGTATTCCATTGCCTCGCTAGTTCGGTGGTATGATTGTGCCGTGGGTCAAACTTGTGTGAGACACGTCTCCCTTTACACGTCTCCCTGACGCAAGAAAATCGTGACCAATCAGCAAGGTTGTGCGGACACTGGACCGCGGCATCAAAGGTGCTCAGAAGGCCTGCGGAATGTTTTCTCATTTCAGAAGAAGTCAGTGTGGTGCAGAAGTTTTCAGTTTAGACTGCAGCTATTTGAGGGACCACACTTCAGCGAAGAAGTTGTGGACCTGGCAGTGTGTAGCATATTCTGTGCGATTTGGCCGGCGCAGTCATCTACGAAAGTGGTGGACGTGGAGGTGGACACGGACAAGAAGAAATGAGCTTGTTTACATTCATGTCGGTCCGTTGGCATTTCGTGTGATGTTTGGGAATGGCTTCTAGTTCGAAGGACTAGCTGATAGTTCGGATATTTTTTAAGCGCGCTGAAATTTTACTTCGGCAACTGTTCCTGATTGATTCTGCAAGGTCCTGCGGAGAAAAGCAGACCAAACAAACGAGGTGAGACTCTCTTGAATATATTTTTTGAGTGTGTAGTACGGGACAG